GAAGGGGAAGTCAAGTACTACGGAGGCGGAGATCTTGAACTGCGAGATTGATTATTTGAGTTATGGGGAGAGTGTTATGGTTGTGCCGGATGTGAGGAGTAGTACGGTGGGCGTTGGGGAGATGAGCGTGGGTAGGCCAAGGAGCGTGGTTTGGTTGGAGAGTAGTGGGCAGTCATTATGAAGAAATGAAAGTGGATGAAATGTGGGACATAGCACCTTTGAGCAAGATACAAGAGCATGGTAGAAGCCTGCGGTCAACTGGATGTTCTCTACCTAATGACTAAGTTTGATGGCACTGTTCTAACAATGATCCCACTAGCCGAGATAATCCGCCCATGCAGGTTTGTTTGTTCCTTCTGACAACCAGAAATTACTGTATGTGTAGAAAACAGTGAAAAGACTGTTTAGTGTGACGTATCCAGCTACAAATTCGCCCATTGAACCCTTGATACCCGTCAATCTTCTTGGGGTCTTCGATAACAAACCAACGAAAAGTACATCATAGAATAGCAAAGAGATAAAGGGAAACGTTACAAATGCAGAGATAAAAATTAAGAGTGATCGCACACAACGGGTGGGTACCGTTTGCTGAGAATATGACGACCATCCTGGTAGGAATATCGACCCAAGGATGATAATGCACCAGACGATGCCCAGAATAACCCAGACCATTGCGGATCGTGGTAGTATATAAGTCCCATCTGCAGTGATCTCCACTATAGTCTGGAGTACTTTGTTGTGAATGACTTCAAAACGGGTCGCCCATAGTTGCCTGGCATATGCAATAGGCGGAACAAGAACTGGACGTCCTGAGAGCCAGACCCATGCTCGAATGAGAACCTGGCACATAATCCAGGTCGGCCCTAGTAAGAGCAAAATTTGTATCACAAAATGATCGTAATGATCATTCACAAGAAATATTAGCCATAGGTGCAGTAAACAGAAGGAAATCATCGATGCGACGCCGCATAAGGCTCCTACCACCAGTTCAACACGCTCTTTAGTGCGGACAACGATAGGCATCGGCCTCAAATCGAATTCACCAGCACTTCCAGCTGTTAGGCGAAAGAACTCCGGCACTAGAAAGGCTGTAACATATATTGATGTCACGACCTGAGTCACGGGAGTACCACGCATAGCGAACACTTTCAGAGCTTGTGGGGCCGCTCCAATAGTGAATGCGAACATGCTTTGTCTCCAGTTGTTATCGATTGATGATCCTGCGAGGTAGTTGCTGTTGACCATTTCAAGACCCTGACTAGGAGTGATCAGCCTTGAAGAGACCTCGGCGACTCTCCATTCGATCGGAAGTGCGGTCGTGTTTTGGTGGCTCATCCTGTTCGGCGTTTCGGTCCCCTCTTGGAGGTTGCCATCCGTGGAGTGATTCGCTGGTTGAGAGACTGCAAGGCTTTCGGGAGAGTTCGAGGTCGGCGCTGAAGCTGCAACAAGGTGCGCAGGCGCAATGACTTCCTGGTTATCGAAGACTGAGTTGGATTGCTCGTCTTCTCGAATAGATGCGAGCGGTAAATTGAATATAGACTGGGCTCTTCCGTGTTCGAACCGACCGTACCAGACATGCCTGGCTGCAGTAGTAAAGGAGCATCCGACATGCAAGAGACAGATGAATTCGGCAATCATCATCACTGTGTCCAGTGCGCAGATCAAAGGTGAAGCTCGCAAAGCAGCACTAAGCACAAAGTTCGCGCGAAGAACGCGACCAGTGCTTTGGATCATGACCGTTACCATGCATGCAATTATAGGCCAGCATGCACTCTGCCACGAAACTTCTGTAGTGGTGCTGTGGCTGAACGCTCATGGCCGTCAGTCGTTGATCGAAGCCTTCTAGTCTGGATCTCCAATAACTCACAAGAAGTGCCGGTATTTGTAGTACCTCCATCCTGAAGCAACGAGGCGTTGAGGCTAGTTGCGAAGGGTGGAAGGATCATAGTTGCGCGGCGGAATCCACGAATGCAAGCCAGTTTGTGCTGTTGTTGAACGAGAGACAGATTCGAGATTGTAAAGGTCGATAGTAGAGGGGTACAAAATATTCTTGGATTAAAGAGCCCGAGATGTGGGTGTACTCCCTACGGTTCGACATTGACGAACTCGAAGCTTACATGGCACATTCCGGCCTTCTCGGGATACGTCATGTGAAGGCTGAGGTGCTATACGTTAAAGCCTTTCGTTGGCTGGATAATATGCTGCGCCCACACGAGGCACGAGGAGGGGTTTCATAATGTTCAAGGCAGCAAGCAAGGCAGACTAGGAAGGTGGCAGTGATAGACTGGCAAAAGCCAATGACAGACCACGCTAGTCGTCAGCACAGTGCATGCTATCGCAGCAGCCACACCGGAAACCCTTTTCATGTAAGCAAAAAGGACGGACGATGCATAGTTACTCTTGCCGCATATAACGTCAAGCAAAAAGAGAGCTCAGAGTTCGAGAGTCACTATTTTACATCTAGAGCAAAAAAGAACAAAAACATACAACAGCGGGGATTCGCTAGTGGTCACCCACCTAACTACTAATCCGCCGGTACAATGCTTGTATATGGCTGAGCGGACGGGAAGCCTAATTCTCATTGTCCTATGGTCGTATGTACAAGTTTGGGCAGCTAAACTCTATATGACCGCATTGCGCAGGGCTGAGCTCGATAAGACGGAGGTTCGTAGACTGATACAAGGGTCTAGGATAGTGTACTGGCTCGCGCTGGGTTGTGTTGCTGGTGTGGGGTAACCGGCGGCGTAATATCGCGGTGAGGAGCGCTTGAACGTGGTATACTGCGCTCGTCGGCTTAGGTTGCAGGTGTAAGGGGGCCCGACTGGCAAGTGAAGAGAACGACATAGTTAACTAGATGCTACACGTTAGCATGCATGGTGCGGGAATTGTTTCCAATGCGTCCAGTCGTTCCAAGACCTCTATTGCTGCGAACGTTGCCGTTGCGCAGTCTTGCGCGCCGATGTGTGCTTCCTATGCGAAGGTGCTAGGCAATAGCGTCTTAACAAGAGCAATACTGTCTGAGAAGTATGCAGGTAATGCGTATGGTTATCGCATAGTGTGGTGCTTAGGGAGGGAGTGTGTCGTTGAAGAAAGATCGCACTCGTGGGTGTCCTCGTGCGGCGCATGCCTGTGCGGCATGCGACAGGAGACACGCGTCAGACCCGGGAGATGACGATGATCACGTGGTAGCTTAGCGCGTCAATCACGCGTCTCAACACCCCCCGAGGTTCGCTCTCAAGACGAGCTCCATACGCACACCCAATGTTACAGTCACGCTCCATGCTGCGAAACTAGGTGCTGCTTCGGGATGGAACACTTGACCTGAGCCGATTCAATTATTCGGCCATCCCGGGGTCTGTCGCTCTCGGCCATAAGTATGGCCTTGGACATGGGCGTAGCTGGAACCCCTTCACTCAAGGCATCCCGCCTACATCGCAAGCGCATGTCCAGTATACCATACTAAGCTACCTGACTGCATATTTCACACCGCGCACGAACGAGCCACTACCATGACCGACCTCTCGAGAGAAGAACTGCCGCCTTCCGATAGCCCCCACCTCGTCCTTCGGCACCCTACCGAAGAAGAGTGCACGACGATCTCGATCAATACCTCCATCGAGTGGAAAGACTCGCTTTCACTCGCACAATACTTGAAAGAAGGTCAATGGCTCGCCACGGTCCCTTTAGCCCGCGATGGAGGCATGACAACATGGATCTTGGTTCACCAGGATAAAGCTCCAGGCGAGCGTCAGATACTGTGCTCTTGCGAGAGTTTCTCCAAACGCTCACTCACGAGCGATATGAGCGGCGCTATCAGCGAGAACATTGTGCATGGCGTGGCCAGCGTCTTCTCCCTGAGCGAGTACCGCGGCCGAGGGTATGCGGCGCGCATGATGCGTGAATTGGCGAGGACTTTGCATACGTGGCAAGCAGAAGGATATCCATGTGTAGGAAGCACGCTGTATTCCGACATTGGGAAAGAATTCTATGCGAAACTAGGCTGGCTCCCAAACTCCACCAATTCGCACATCGAGCTGCAGCCCTGCGCCATCGCGTGGCCTTCGCCGGCTAGACCAGTTATCGAGGATGAGATAGGAGATTTGTGCAAGCGGGACGAATACTTGGCTCGGTCCCGCATGGCAATACCCACGCAAGAGGCGAAAACTCGTTTTACGATCATCCCAGATCGTGACCATATGCTCTGGCATATATCCAAAGAGGTGTTTGCGACGAAACACCTCTTTGACCGGATACCCAATGCGAAAGGAGCGATAGCTGGACCGCCCGGCAGCCAAGTCTGCGCACTTTGGACGCATCGATACTACAGTCATCCTGACGCAAGCACGTCACGCAACGTGCTATACATACTTCGGCTAGTGGTTGAGGTCGATGAGACTGCGACAAGGCTATCTTCCGATGCAGCGAAACTGCCTGAGCCTGCCATGTACGAGCAGCAGGCAGTATACCTTCGGGCGGTTTTGCAGGCAGCCCAGGCCGAAGCCAAAGAATGGAATCTCGATGTCGTCAAGCTCTGGGATCCTACACCCTTGGTTCTAGACATACTTGCTCAAAGTGGGCTTGATTTCGAGGTTGTAGAACGGAAGAACGACAGTATTGCTAGCCTTCTTTGGTACGATGCAGATGGTGGTGTCAGTGACGAGAGGCCATTGTGGCTGAACAACGAGCACTACGCGTGGCAGTAGGAGTTGGAAGACCCGATGCCGATGACATTCGAGTCTTACGTGTAGTTTCGATCACACTGCACAATGCAATTACAGTTCCAAACCCCACCAAGGTCGGCGATCTCGCCGTCTCGGCTTTGACGTTATAGGACGAGCCGATAAACAGACAAACCTGCCAATTTGATTGTTCTGAACAGTAGGCTGGTATATCTGCGGAGTGCGCACTAGATGGGTTACGATGGTCCTATCTTCAATGTCAATGCACTGTCATCTAAGCTGTTCCATCAACCGGATGTCAAATCGTCTTGTAACGCCAGATCAAGTAGACTGCACGCTAGAGGGATGCCTATCGCCCTCAGACCTACGGTGTAGTTCTGTCATAGGTGTACCTCCATTCTCTGTTGACTCGTGCCTCGATCCATTAGCTCTGTCGATTCCGAGAACTGCGGGCTTAGACGTATCGCTCAAATGATGCGCACGGAGGAAGAAATTGGCAATGAACGACAGGCCTGCGGCCACTACGAACTGCAGCTGTCAGCTGATGTGTCAGTGAAGAAACGCAAGATTGCGTACCATAAGCCAGACTGATCTCAAAGAGCGGTAGTATGCATCCTTTACGAGCAATTGCTGAGCATTGGGCAAAGTCTTGATCACCTCAACATTTGCTGACGCCTGGTCACCACCAAACATGCTCGCCAGGTCTCCACCAATCTTCTCTGCAAGGCCATGGCTAGCAGCATCCATCCGATTCTGGAACTAGATATGGGTGTAAGAAGTCAGTGTCTGTCTCACATGCAATTTGTAGATGGGCGTCACGTACGATCACGCCCCCAACAACGACCGCTACAGTCGTTGCCAGCGACCGCATGAAAGTCATAGTCGCTTGTATGACCGCCGTATCCGCAACGGTCATTGCAGCTTGCGCAGCGATGAGTGGCGGTTCGATATTCATGCCCACTCCGATGCCTGTGACGACTTGGAAGATGATGAGCTTCGTCAGGCTCTCTCCAACCCGAACGCTAAGGAGAAGACCTGTACCAAGACATAGCAAAATATGTGCAACGTATGTGATCGGAAGATATGTTCCTGTCGTCTGGATATACGCGCCTGTGCCTGCGGCGGACAAAGAGCATGCCACAATGAGCGGTATGAGATGAACGCCAGAGACAAGAGCGTTGGCGCTTAACACGGATTGGGAGTATAGAGGCAAGTAATATGAAAGGCCAACCAGGATGTAGAAGTTACAAGCCCACACGAAGTATGCAGCGACTGTCGAACGCTTTGTGAAAAGACGCAGTGGAATGACGGGATTATTGGCGAACTTCCACTCATTCACGAGGAAGACGGCAGTCGTCACGAGTCCAAAGACTATAAGGCATACGACTGTTGCTGAAGACCAGGGGAACGTGACGCTACCAAAGTCCAGTCCGAGCAAGATCATCAATGCGGCGCCAACGATCAGGATACTCCCTACCCAATCGATAGCCTTCAGACCCGCAAAGACAGGCGTGTGCGGCGAGGGCAGCTTCAAGAAGAAGACCAATACGACCAATACCACTGCTCCGATTGGCAAATTGATCCAAAAGCACCATCGCCAGCTCGCCTTTGTCGTAAAGCTGCCTCCGATGACTGGGCCGATAGCGCTGCCCACCGCCCACACCAGGGACGTTATGGCAAGATACAGCCCTCGATCGCGCAGGGAGAATGTGTCGCAAATGATGATGTTGACTGTTGTGCCCATTCCAGATGACCCAAGGCCCTGCAATGCACGGCCCGCAATAAGGGAATGCATGGACGGCGCAAGAGCGCAGAGTAGACTTCCCCCGAGGAATATGGTCAGCGCAATCAAGAGGATGGGCTTGCGACCCCATATGTCTGCTAATGAACCCCAGACTGGCGTACTAGCTGTACTAGCTAGGATGAATGCGCTGCCTATCCAGACATAGCCTGTGGTAGAGTGCAGGCGTTGCACTATGGTGGGGATGGCGGGTGTGATGATCGTGAGGTCGAGGGCGGATAGGAAGACGGAGAGACAGAGTGGTAGCATGAGCAATGCGATGGCCGTTGCAGAGAGTTTGTTGGTAGAATTCGCGGAGTATGTGGCGATCGTAGGTGGTAGTGTCGTCGGCACGCTGTCCGGGAGTACGTCGCTTGTTGATGTCTCTGGGTTGCGGGTGGACTTGCTGTCTGCGAGCACCTCTCGAGGTAGATCCTTCGACGCCATCGCTGTCACATTATCGTTGCTATTCAACCTTCGGCATGGCGCTTCGAGAACATTGCCTGGCGAGAGTACGCTCTCCACGGCCTCTGTCCTACTAAGTCTAGCAACGGGCGTCGGTATGGTCTCCTGATTCGAACGGCCAGTCAGCGCCGCTTCAGTACTCTGGCTGTTACTTTGCAGTGTCGCAGACGATTGTCTTGCGCATTTTCGTCGCAACATCGCTGTTGACTGTCTAGAATGGGATTGCGATTGTTGCGATTGTTGCGGATGGCGTTCAACCGACAGCCAGAGCGCAAAGTCGTTCGGGGTGAGGGAGTTGCGCAGCGACATCTCCAAGGCTGGCTCGTTATCATCAATTCTGTGAAAAGGCTTGTGTTTATCTTGCGATGTCGTGCTCAAAATCCGGGAAAAAAAGATACTTTGCGCAAATCGCAGAGTGGTCTGCTTTTTCTTGAAGGTACCCAGGTAAGCCGACGAACTTTCGCGAGATGATTCGGATGTGGCAGGGATTTGGATCATGTGACTTCAAACTCGGCGTCCGTTCTCCATGACCAGTCTCTGTTCAGTGGAGTGTACTATGGTGTTTCTTCTGCCAATTCCCACAAAGAACGTTCATGGCAATGTTGAGAATTACTAAGTACGCAAGAAAATACGTGCTCCTCGAAGTTGAACTGACGATGAACTAGACGATATGGAGGATAAACATGGATACAACTACACAAATCGGTCACTCCCCTTGATACCCATCTGGATACTTGTCGGGGAGTCGCTGCATATCTACAACGGCCCTGACAGACGTTAGTGACTATGCGGTATTAGTAGACTGACAACTTACATCTTGCGGAAGTCGCTCTTCTCAGGATATAACGCGGAAGCGCACAAGTGTCCGCTTCTTCGCAGAGTCAGCAGTAAAAAGATGAACGGTAGAAACCTCACTTACATCGCATAGAGAACGTTTCGGTCTTCATAATCGCACTCTGGTGCTGATATAGGGAAGAACTTGTGATACTCCTGCATCCACTCTCGACCGAGCTTGTAACGAGGAGTGGCCATACTACCGACGTCATCTTTACAATCGTAACCACCACATTAGCCTCGATCCAAGTATTCTCTTACGCTGTCACTTACACTCATTGTGGCCCCAAAAGACTGCGGGGTCGAAGTAAACGGGCTCACCAGTAACCGTATTGGTACCTATATTACCGCACCAGATGTCGCCGTGAAGCGCAACCGGTCTCAGTCTGCGACCATGCGTATCCAGAGGTCGAAGCAGTCGCGGAATGACCTTCTCTCTGAGTCCCAGCACCAGCTCCTCAACCTCTTCGCTAGGACCCTGCGATACTAACTCTTGGTCGACGAACGACTGGAAGCGCCGGCTGTACAGCTCTTCCCATGTTTTGCTCCACGTTATGTCCTGGTACATACTGCCTTCGTGTGTCATGACCTCGTATCCGAATTCCTTAGGCGCTTTTGGGTCTATCATGCTGTCGTGATGTAGCTTAGCCAACATGGCAGAGAATGCGTGGATATTGGGGAGGTCTGCGGTCATCTCCATGAACTCCGCGAGGTAGAAGTGCTTATTGGGGTCTGATTTGTATGTTCCCCAATCGATGGGGCGAGGTATGCCTTCTAAGTGGTGTACAAAGTCAGCTTCTTTTTGATATCGGGTATGCGAGAGTACATGCCAGGCGTATATGTGTGCAATGTTTTGACACCTTCATACTCTCCTCGAAGCATGCTCATGCCCAGTTCGCCACTGGCGGTTTTGAGAAAATATGTTTGCGGAGTGCCATCGGATAGTTGGACATCGATACGCGCGGTCTGCGTCCAGAAACTGGCGCCATGTAGCTTTGCTACGATGGCTTTGCACCCCTGGGGTAGAACTTTTGAATGGTTAGCCTGAACGCCACATTAGCTTGCGTTCGAGGGCTGACTCACGCTCCACGACGGCTTCGTCCACTTCGATAGCTTGACCCGTTATCTGTGCCGTTGGCTTAGGTATCCAAACAACTTCTGTCATGTTTGAAGAATCTGTGAGTAGTGCTTCCTTAGCTTTGTATGAAAGCGGCGTGAGTATGGTGGCACCAGTTTCCTGAGACCGTCTGCTAGAAGAAGGGCATCGAGTCAAATTGATCAGGTTGATCGAGGACGTAAAAGCGAACATACTAGACTACAGTCACCGGTGACAGCTTAACAGTGGGGTAGTATTTCATCCCCACGAGCAACAAGTCTGACGTAGCTAAAGCACGGTCACCAACATCCCCACTGTCCACATTCCGTGCTCTGCTGACCCACAGCCGCTGAGTCTGCCATCCACAGTTTCATCAAGGGCGCTCCTTCTTCATCTCAATATAGAGTAAGAGTGCATAGTATCAGGCGACCAGTAAGCCCAAAAGACGAGCTCGAAGCTCCGGTGTGTATTGGCTAATCCTGGGGTTCGTCCTCATCCCATCCATCACCTGATCGATTGGCATCCAGATAGTCCACTATGTTGTCTTTGCCTTCCATGATATCCAAAGACTCGCCTCCATCCCTGAAATGATTTACCTGCTCCCAAACCAGGTATGACTTGCACCGTACACGCATGTGCAACGCCTGGCCTCTATGATTTAGGGCAATCAGCAGTACCCATCCCTCTTCGCATGCCTCGCGGTCTGCGACCACGACGAGTAAGCTTTGTTGCAATTCTGTGTGATCGTCCGTCTCCATTATCTCACGCTCACTACTTCCTTCCATCGCATCGGGACATCGCATTAGGGCGCCTAAGATGAAGGAGGGTATATCATCCATCAGCTCCACTTCATCGTCTGCGTCCCGTGCCACCACCCCATATGCGGCATCGTTGTCGTCGAAGACGAAAGGCCCAAACATATCCGCATCGAATCGATAATGGTACTGATAAGGGTGCAAGGCTTTCCGCCAAAGTCGTAGATATGCCTCGTCGGCACTTGCACGAGTGACAATATCTTCGCCCGATCTTTGCCCCAGAGATGCTTCATTGCCATACCATGTTCGGATCCATATAGCACCAGCAGCACGATTCCACTCGCCTGAATCTGTCACTTTACGGCGCTTCTCGAAAACTGACAGATTTGACGGAATGTGTTGAGGAAGAGGTATGTCGTCGCATCGCTCGCGGTAAAGCTGATCAAGACGTGCGTTAGTAAATAGAATTCGGACGTGCCAACAAAGTGGGACAGGTAGACCCTACCGAACGGCCACGCTCACCGAGGTGGATCCAGGCTTTGATAAGGTTCCGTTCTTGCTCGTCTTGGTGTAGAGATGATTCTGGATCCCATTTCTCCTTTTGCTCTTGATCAGTCGCATTCGATAGAGCTTGCTCGTGCTCGCTGTGTTGACTAAGAGGCGTTGAGTGCAATCCGACGTACTAGAAGGAAATGATCAGAAGGTTCCCAGCCGAACGAGGGTTCTAATGACCGCGAATTGGCCATTGAGTTGGATGCCGTCGAGTTGGAATAGAGCGCATATGGTTGTGATGTGAGAAGACGAGAACAGGCAGCAGTCTCGGCTGCTGTTCTTGGCGTGTGCAGTGTGTCTCTCATTGGCTCAGATGATCCTTCGAAGATCGCGAGCCGATCTTAACAGCATTGAAGTTACTTCGCTATCCTGTTCCTGGGGTCTGTGACAAGGTCGGTGACGAGATACTTGATCGGAGGCCGCGGCAACAAGTACAATGCAAGCTTTCGCTTTTTGGAAATCCCATCAGGCGACCGCTTCGCCGAAGGATTTGCGCGTGGCATTGCTTTCCTCCAGATTCGTTTGAGTGAAAGGGTGTTCTGAGAAGAGGTAGGGTCGACGATCGCGTCGAACGATGTTTTGTCTCTGATCATGGGTGGCATGGTGTGATAGGATGCGATTGACGTGTACGTTGGTGGGGCGGAAGGTAGAGTTAAAAATGAAATATCTCTAGATTGCTAGAAATATATAATGTTGATGTTTGGGACGTGGAGCGATGAACCACGGGTCAGTCTTGCAGAGGATGAGGGGCTGTAGCATCTGTGCCGAGGGGTCCAATGAGTCGATTTGTATATGTACTCTCCGGATTGTTTACCGATATGTAAAAGCCAAATTGCAGGCTCAGATTAGCAGAACTTTGCCGTCGCCGGAAACAGCGGTTCTTCGGCAAGGAGAGCATCCCCTGTTTAACGACACTGCTTTAGCATGGGAAGCTATGGTAAAAAGGTAACGTCACATGTGCTTAGCGCGGCGATGTCGAGAGTACGCGGAATGAGCTTCCGCACAGCCATCGTGCGCAATAAACAGACTTGATATTATTGTGATGCGGTGTTGAGGAAGCAGATTCCAGATCTCGGGTTGATGGTTGTTGGATGCAGGTCCGGAGTGAGGGCGATGATCTGGGCCTAGGCAATGCGGAAGCTACCCCGGGCGGGCCAACGACGTCAGGGCAGGAGCCACCCAGCCATCCTTGATGTCTCCACTCCAGCACGTCTACACGGACGGTACACCTCACCACGACACCTCACAGCCCTCACCGCATCGCGACACGTACTATCCCCCATATAAGCCATCGCGCATCCATGAGCGCTATCTCCGCGCTGCATGTGGCAGACTCTGCGACAATACCATCGTGATTTTGCCATCCCGGGTTCCAAACGGTCACGCATGGCTTCTGGCAGCATTGGCGACGTGCCTGCCGCGACTTTTGCTGAGTACGTAGACGATCCTTTCTTCGACCACGGTGACGAGGCGGGTGCATCGCAATCGCAGACATCGCTGGAAAAGGAGGATGACTTCATGGAGAATGCGCCGCCTGCCGATGCACCGCAATTGGCGCTGGCGCAAAGACCCGAAGCGCCGTCGCGATGCATCGCGGTGCGCCCGGCTCTCACCCACCGTCTCTACTCTCATCGCCTCCATGTGCGGGCCAAAGCTAAGCTACAACGCGATAGACTTCTCTCCGGCCCTATGATCGACGTCTACGTAGGCGAGTCCAAGCGCCACTGGTCGCTGCATCGCAATTTGCTATGCCACCACTCCGAAACCCTCGAGAACGAGCTCCTAGGCGATGCCGACGGTCACACTAGGAAAGATCGCCTCGATCTTCCCGATTACAACCCTGCTGGTTTCGAGCTGCTGGTAAAGTGGCTGTACCAAGGCAGCCTCGACGATGTCTCTGACATGGTCGACGCCAACCAGAAGTATGAGTATGCTGTGAGCTGCCACAGACTCTATCTGCTGTGCGATCGCTTTGACATGCTTCAACTGAAGAACGTCGCGATGGATCAGTACCGAAAAGGCCTGAATGAGGCCGAGCTGGTACCTGACGCTGACGAGATTGATGACATCTATCGCAAGAGTCCGACAGGGTCGCCCTTCCGCACGCTCATGACGCGTATTGCGGCCCGCCAGATTATGGATCCTGGTAGTGAGCGCGACGTCGAAACCTATCGCGAGTGCTTCGAGAACAACCCGGACTTCGCCATCGATCTGGTCAAAGCTATCAGGTCAGGCACTGGCGGCATGCTGTTCGACGATCCAACAGATGAGGGTCATGAGTGCGACTACCATGACCACGAAGCTGGCCCGAACTGCCATACAAAGGGCAAGGGCAAAGGGAAGCAAGGTGTGTGACTCCGACCTCTCCCAAGCCCAATCTCAGCACCCTATCAGCCATCTCATTGCTGCCAAAAACGCGTAATAACGTCCATTAACCAGCAAAGAAGAAAGCCGGCCTGTCATCCGCCAAATCAGTCCCCTACATAAGCTCCGACCAGCACAGCCGCCCTCCCCGCCCTCCTCCCCCGAAGACACCTCGCCCGCCTCATCCCCTGCAAGCTCGCCCACAAGAGGGAAGCGCCGGTCCTCTCCGCCGTCGCCTGACAAGTCCAGCGAGCTCGACAGTTGGCACATCGACGGAGATGGCAGTCGCCAGTCAAGCACCCAATCTCGACGCGATTCGCGAGAGGGAGAAGGACAGGGAAAAGCTGCGCAGAGTGACGCCGCCGGAGAGAAGACGCCTGGAGCGGGCTCAAAGCAGTGGAACGGAGATACAGAGGTCACGCCCAGTCCTAGAAGAGCGCCGCCGAAGCTCAGACGACGCGTCTCACCCACACCAGAATAGCCAGCTTGAAGACCAAGCATTGAGGGAGCTCGAGGGAGGACCAGTGCAACCACCACAACGATCACCGACGCGTCGAGGCATCTGGGAGTGGGCGAAACTAGGGACAGGCAGGTTGAATGTCATCGGACGTATACCCCACCCCGAATGGAAGGGCCCAACAATGTCGCAAGAAGCCGTCGCGAACGGCAATTCGCGAATAACTACCATTCATGAGACCCATGACGATTTCAGCATCCCCTCTACAACGGCTACCGAGACGAACAATTTGCAAGAATACAACCAAGCAATGGCAACCAAGCTCGAAGGCTTTGGCTTCCCACACGCTCACATTATCACGTCGCCACACTTCTCGCAGACAAAACGCTCTTCCGATGACCTTGTTGCTGCATCGTCTACAGCGAGCACGCCAGCGAATCTGAATCTTGTTCTAGAGGGTGGCACAAATGGCGAGCGCGTTACACCGCAGGCCTCGAAAGACAGTCCGCCGTTGACGCCGGATACCCCAACACCGCAACAGCGCAGAAAAGACTCGACGATCGAGACGGAGAGCACACCGACGAAGGTCACCTCCGACAGTGCGAAGGCAGAGATCGCTGATCCACCTCTGAATGGCGTCAAGAAGAACTCTACTCCTACTCCTACTCCTACTCCTGACCGCATCCCCAAGTATCGGATTGCGCTTTCTTCGAATTTTCTTTCGCCAGCTCGTGGCAGTCCGAGTTCCGCATCTTAATTTTCTACGATCAAAAGCGATACCCTGTACGTACATATAATTCAACGACTAGCGAATCCTGTAATGCAATTCAATATCCACGAAACGCTCAATCACATCCACTGGAACACGACACTAGCACAATAATCCACATAAGGCTAGCAAGCTCTGAGCAGATGCCCACTGTAGATTCACTGACCGCAGA